TGTTAGGGATGACTGGAAATACTAAGCATAAATTTGTTTGTAAATAAAAATTGAAATTGTACATCCGGGTATCCTTATATTATTCTCTTGATATGGAATCACAAATTGTCCCTCATGCTGGTTGATGTACTGTATGTGACCCTCATTTCAGCAAGGAGACAGCTCAGACCGATACGCTTCTCATTCGCACTATGAGCTGCACAGACTAGTTGGGATCGCCCACAAACCCCAATGGTCACTACAGAGTGGCAGATGAAGGACACTCAGGCAAATAATGTATACAGTATGTGCTGCTTTGGAATCCCAGATTAAGTTGCCTAATGACATAGGGGTCACCCTGAACTCTTCATAGTGCAGTTACTGTACCTGTTGAGCCACTCATGAACCCTCAGGTCTTCTGATAACTGCTGAGCTCTACCATGCCACCTTCCCAGGCAGCCTCTGTTATCAATGTGGTATCTTGATTAAATGAAATGGTAACAATAATAAAACCTAGTGCTTCAGCCCAGTCAATACAGATGCAGTCTCATCTCTTGTGTCCTTGGCTGTGCTTAGTGCTGTGGCAAGATGGACATCTTTTCTACCCCTGCCTGTGGCTATCCAGTGTAATTTCTTCTGTTCATCAACAATACTGGTCATAAAGACAACCATCGTTATTGCTGTAATTTTATTGTAGGCATTACAGTCGTATCACTATGACCCTGTGATGAGAAGACTGATGAATAACTTGTACTTCTACGTGATGCCTGTCTTCAATGTTGATGGCTATCACTTCAGTTGGACAAAGGTAATCGTTTTTCCTTCACTTGAAACGTAATGCAGAAAAACTGATTTGGGCCAGATTTTTCAAGAAGTCCGTTTTGTGCTATTTTATTAAAACACAACGGGTTTATTTACCGTAGTTCCCTAAGATTTTGTACACCTTTGCTGTGTTTGCTTGAGTGTTACCAAAGCAATTGTGATCTTTTCTTGTCTGGTATTTTAGGATCGGTTGTGGCGTAAAACGAGATCTAGAAATGCCAAATATCACTGTCACGGGGTCGACGCTAACAGAAACTGGAAAGTAAAGTGGTGTGGTAAGTCTGCAACATGTTCTTTCTTTTGCGCTTGTCGTGCCAGAGCGAACGCCAGTGATCGGTCCCGCATACACACGAAGGACAGCACACCTCCCGGCGCTGTTAAAACAAGCCCCAGGGGGCAGTTAATTAACCTGTTATTTCATTATTAGTTCCAGTTTTCTTTAAATACGTCCCTCGCCCTTACCTCAGGGCTCTGTTATTAGGTGAGCTACTGCGCTTTGTATCCCTTTGGACGCCGCTCCACACAGAAAGGCACCGGAGTTGGAGCTGAACCCAGGGCAGTAGAGTGCAAATCACCATGACATCTTGTTGATCTCCTGCCCTAAACATCATCTGAAACAGCTAAACCCTACAGGATTCTGTTGAC